GCCCCCGGACACCGAGCGCACCGCAGCCCCGAACCCGCCGCGGGCTGCGAGACGCCCGCAACTTTCCCGGTTCCCAGCGCTCCGATTCCCCCAGACTTACCCTGTCACAACAGGCGCCATCTTCCACAAACTCTCGCCAAAACTCCAACCCTCGCGAGATTCCCCCTGATGCCTTCCCTGGTCCCTCTCCCCCGCCCCTTCCCTTTTTCCTCACTCCTCGATTCCACCCAGCCCCCGCGCTCCTTTTCCCCTCGCAGCCGCCGCGAAGAGCCAGACGCCTCGCGCCGCCAGCGGAGTAGGGGATCCAGCTCGCAGCCTTCCCTGGAAACCTACCCAAGCGATGGAGCATGCGCAGGCTGCTCCTCCGCGGGCGAGTCCTCCGTCTGGTCCATGGGGAGCGCTCCGGTTATCCGGGTTTTGGGACGCGCCCTGAGGGACGTACGTGGAGACTGAGGAAAACCGGAGGGGATTACAACGGGGACGGGGAATGGAGGGGTCAGGAGGCGGGGCCGAGGGGAAGGGAGGAGGGGTCCTGGGAAAATCTGCCGCGTTTCACAGGCCTAGATGAAACACCTCCCCAAATGGGTGTTTTCCAAGTGGCTTCCCGCTCACTTTAGTTCCCAGCCCTTTTCATTCATTCAAACGTTCATTGGACGCCTCCTTTATGGTAATGTTAGCATTAGGTGCTGGAGCTACAGAGATGCCTGGAGTTCGGACAAGTAAACCAGGAACTCTCTCAGTTCATTCGACCCCCATGCTAGCAGAGAGACAGACAAGATAACAACGTGTTTCGACTCTCCAGAGCTCTGTAAAAGGAAAACTTTTGCAATTGAGTTCTGTTGCCTTAGCTTTCTTTTCCTTGGGTGTAAAATGAGGTCAGGCCTTTGGCAAAAACACCCCTCAAGTCCACCTCGCATACACACGCCAGCGCGCCGCGTAGCTTTCTCCAGAGGTGAATACTAGGTTGTAATTGAGAGCCACCACTTCCCCACTCCGCGCTGAAGCCAGAGGTCCCTCTTGGACTGAGCTGCCTGTAGTGTAAGCCTCCCTAGAACCTCATCCAGCCCCCAGAAGTGTGTGAACCCAGGTGTATAGGGAGACAGACTCTGCCAAGATCCTCCCGTGGGCCTCGCACAGTCAAGGACGCTGCTCATTGCCCGAAGTGTATCTCAGGCGACCTAAGCCTGGAAGCCCCCGAGTAAACTTGGCCCGTCTAGGCATTTAATAGAAAGGTGCAGGGCCCGAACCCCGCTCCCTCCTTCCTACCTGCAGCACTTCTTCCTTCCCCCACCCTTGCCCTTTCAATTCCTAGAGATTCCCAGATCCAGCACTGCCTCCCACAGGGAGCCCCAAAACCCGGAGAGCTGGAATCCATAGCCCGAAACCTGCTCTAGGCGCTGCAGGACTGGCGCGGCACGCGCGAGCGGCACTGCGCATGTGCCCAATGCGGGCAGTCCCGTCTCACGCTACACCTCCTTCCCACCGCCTTCCACTACTCGATTCAGACACAACACGGGCCGTGGGAAATTTCCTAAACCTCGCGAGAACGCGGCCACTGTTGCCTAGGCTTTCGCCCCAAATCTCGCGGAGCCCAGGCGGGACAGGTGTTTGTCTAGAGGAGCTCCGGGCGCT